TGCACGCATGTGTCTGTCTAGAGTTTGGAGGTCCCAAGCTTGAAGCATGTTCGCTGGTGATGACGTAAAACATTTGGTTTGTGCACGCATGTGTCTGTCTAGAGTTTGGAGGTCCCGAGCTTGTAGCCTGTTCGCTGGTGATGACATAAAACATTTGGTTTGTGCACGCATGTGTTTGTCTAGAGTTTGGAGTGTCCCAAGCTTGTAGCCTGTTCGCTGGTGATGAGGTAGTTCAGTTGGTTTATGTGTCTGTCTAGAGTTTGGAGGTCCCGAGCTTGTAGCCTGTTCGCTGGTGATGACATAAAACATTTGGTTTGTGCACGCATGTGTTTGTCTAGAGTTTGGAGTGTCCCAAGCTTGTAGCCTGTTCGCTGGTGATGAGGTAGTTCAGTTGGTTTGTGTGTCTGTCTAGAGTTTGGAGGTCCCGAGCTTGTAGCCTGCTCGCTGGTGATGACGTAAAACATTTGGTTTGTGCACGCGTGTGTCTGTCTAGAGTTTGGAGGTCCCAAGCTTGAAGCCTGTTCGCTGGTGATAACGTAAAACCTTTGGTTTGTGCACGCATGTGTCTGTCTAGAGTTTGGAGGTTCCGAGCTTGTAGCCTGTTCGCTGGTGATGACGTAAAACATTTGGTTTGTTCACGCATGTGTCTGTCTAGAGTTTGGAGGTCTCGAGCTTGTAGCCTGTTCGCTGGTGATGACGTAAAACATTTGGTTTGTGTGTCTGTCTAGAGTTTGGAGGTCCCGAGCTTGAAGCCTGTTCGCTGGTAATGACGTAAAACATTTGGTTTGTTCACGCATGTTTCTGTCTAGAGTTTGGAGGTCCCGAGCTTGTAGCCTGTTTGCTGGTGATGACGTAAAACATTTGGTTTGTGCACGCGTGTGTCTGTCTAGAGTTTGGAGGTCCCAAGCTTGTAGCCTGTTCGCTGGTGATGACATAAAACATTTGGTTTGTGTGTCTGTCTAGAGTTTGGAGGTCCCAAGCTTGAAGCCTGTTCGCTGGTAATGACGTAAAACATTTGGTTTGTGTGTCTGCCGAGAGTGAGGAGGTCCCAAGCTTGTACGTATAGTTCAGTTGGTTTGTGTGTCTGCCGAGAGTGAGGAGGTCCCAAGCTTGTAGCCTGTTCACTGGTGACAGGGTATAGTTCAGTTGGTTTGTGTTTCTGTCTAGAGTTTGGAGGTCACAAGTTTGCTGTTTGTTGCAGTTCCCCTCTCCTGTTACAGTGGTGCCTATGACCGAACCCCATTTCAAGTTCTCACATGGTGCATGAATGCTTGGCATTAGGGGACCCCAAAATTAACTTGAATTGTTGTCTTTGTGGGTGATGATTTTTTTTATTTTTATTTTTATTTTTATTTTTTTTATAAAAAAAAATTGAAACATTTTCATCATTACAGAATAATTACAATATTAATTTCACACTCATCCTTCATTCTTCAACCAACATTTTATACAAATTTTGTAATGATTTTTTTTTTAGAGAGAGAGAGAGAGAGGGGAGGGAAGGAGCAAAAGAGCTTTTACAGAAATAGAAATTGAGGGTTGAGAAGACAACAAGCGGTCAAAGTGGCGAAGATGTTGAGTCCATGTGTGTCCATTTATTAGTGCAACTATTTATTTAACCTGAAACATAATAATAATTTCAATTTCAACAGTAAAGTGGCAGGGAGTTACATTTCTCTCTTTTAATCAAACTTTGACTACTCAGATGTAAAATATACACATGTATTCTATCCGTTTTGGGTTTGTCAGGGATTGGGAGTGATTTCTAATAATTTCTTCCATTTCTTCCAGGAATTTTCCATTTTTAAAGCAGTATCCACTCCTTTGCCTATAGAATATATTTTTGAATTCTGTAGTGATCTATAATAGCATTTTGTAAAGCATGAATTGATAGAGTTTGTTGCAAGCATCTTGATCTATAGATATACTGTTTCATTACTTCAGTACTTTTATAGTTGTGCATGCATGCGCATGCCAAAAATGAAAGTTTCCTTATTAAAAGTAAATGGAATAAATAATGAGTCTAATAAAAATTCAAAGTTCTGAAAAAATGACTACTTTTTCACACTCCCATAGCATATGAACTATTGTTTCTATTTATGTTTTACAAAAAAAGCAGTATGGAGTTTCTATCAATCCTATCTTAAATATATGCGAATTGGTTGTTAAAATGTGATGATTTATTCTATATTGTAACCAGTGTAACTTAGAATTTTTCGAATCTTGAAAGGGGGTTTTATATATACAATTCCATGTTTCATCATCTAGATTAAAAATGTCATTCCACTTTATTTTACCTGTTGCTGTGATATTATTTTTGCAGAGTATCTTGTAGAAGTCCTTTGACCCTTTAATATTTTTAAAGAAAATCTCAAGACTAAGTGGAATAAAAAGGTAACTAACAACATCATTACCTATTTCCTTATGCCTCAGATATTTCCTTACTGCTCTAACTATTCCTTCAAAGGTAAGGAAATTAGTTCTTAAGTTATATTTCCCCATAAATTCCTGATCATTATAAAAAGTACTTGTTTTCGGGTCTTTTATTATATCATTGATAATAATTACCCCCTTCTTATACCATTCTTTATAAAATACCGTTCTATTTTCTATTGTTAAAAATTTACTATGTAAATAGGTGTTTTCAGTATTGTCCTATTCTCATTTATCAAATTTCCTTCCTTATCATGGAGGGTTTTCCAAGAGTTTAGAACATCTTTCCAAAATCGATTCTTGCATTTTTTTTCCACAAATATATAAGTATTCTGATCCACAGTTAGCCATAATATCTATATCAGTAACATGCTGGGATGAAGGGCTACCAAGTTTGTTCAAAGAAATGACCTTGACTAATATCCAAGGTCACAGGGGTCAAATATGTTATAAACATTTAAACAACTTCTTCTGAAAAGTCAAGAGACCTAGGGTGGTAACATTTGGCCAGTAACCAAGCTGGGATGAAGGGCTGCCAGGATTTTTCAAATAAATGACCTTGACCTATATTCAAGGTCACAGGGGTCAAATATGTTAAAAACATTTAAACAATTTCTTCTGAATAACCGAGAGGCCTAGGGTGATGATAGTTGGCCAGTAACATGCTGGGATGAAGGGCTACCAAGTTTGTTCAAATAAATGACCTTGACTTATATTCAAGGTCACAGAGGGCAAATATGTTTTAAACATTTAAACAACTTCTTCTGAATAACCAATAGGCCTAGGGTGATGATATTTGGTTAGTAGCATGCGGGATGAAGGGCTATAAAGTTGTCCAAATGAATGACCTTTATCTTTTTTCAAGGTCACAGGGTCAAATATGTTCTAAACCTTTAAACAACTTCTTCTGAATAACCAAGAGGCCTAGGATAATGCCAGTAATATGCTGGGATGAAGGACTACCAAGTTCAAATGAATGACCTTGACATATATATTTTAAGGTTACAGGGGTCAAATATGTTTAAAACCATTTAATGACTTCTTCTTAATAAGAAAAAGGCCAAGGGTGATGATATTTGGCCATTAACATGCTGGGATGAAGGACTACCAAGTGAATGACCTTTGCCCATATTCAAGGTCATAGTGGTCAATATATGTTTAAATCTTTTAATAGGTTCTAATGAATGAAACACTGATATTTTGCCTGTAACTGTATTTTAGTCCACTTTTAAGATTACAAGTGTGCGATTAATACCAGTTGAGCGATGCAGGCCCATTGGGCCTCTTGTTTAATGATATAAAAAGATGATTAAATTGTGAGATAAGCAAAGACTTAACAATGTGAATTCTCCCAATTGGTGTAAGTTTTTTAAGATTAACTTAAGTTTTACCATTTTTTTATCATAATTCAGTTTTGGTATTTTATGTAAATCAATGTGAAAATCAATCCCTAATACAGTAAACTTATGGTTCCCCCAATGCATAGACTCTGGAAAAAATGTATCCTCACAGTATTTTTTGCTTCCTATCCAAATTACTTCAGTTTTAGTTGTGTTTATTTTCCTCCCGAAATTTTGGCAAATGTGTCTAATTCCCCTAATGCTTCCCTTAAAGAGTTTTTTGATCCGTCAAGAACTGAAGTATCATCAGCATATTGAGATAGTAATATTGGTGTGTTTTCTATATTTATTCCTTTAATACTATTATTATTTCTAATTCTGAAACCTAGTACTTCTGCACATAAAATAAATAAATACGGGGCAATAGGGTCATCTTGACGACATCCACGTTTCATTTCAAAAAATGGTGATAGATTCCCCCCCCCCCCCCCCCCTTTGTTAATAGATGACTTTGGACACTTGTGAAAAATTTTGATCCAACTTCTTATATCATTTCCAAAATTAAAAAAATCAAGTACCTTATCAATAAAATACCAACTAACAGAATCGAAAGCTTTCTCAAAATCAATAAGTAGCATACCAGGTATTTCATTCTCTTCAGCATATTGCATGATGTCATATATTATTCTAGGGTTTTCTCCTATTTATCTTCCTGAAATAAAACTGATCAGTATTTTTTTTATTTTTTTTTAATGGAGGTCAGTGTGTTGTGAGACTGGACTGATTGACTGCCAGTGATCAGGTGGTTAGAGCATCCGTCTGAAGTTTGGAGGTCCCAGGTTCAAATCCTGATCCTAGCTGTTAAATGTGTCTTACACATTTCCTTCATTTCTTATATAGATAACATTGGTCTTATACATATCTCTAGTCTCTCATACACGTAGATGTATTGTGTCTATCATTGCAGATCTTCATTAAGTAAATTAGTACTAAATCATAAGTATACTTATAAAATCATTAAAGGGAGATAATTATTCTTCAGCATTTAGATTGGTAACAAATTATTGAAATATATCAATTTTAATTTGTTTTTATAATAAAGAAACCTTTTTGATTGCATACAAATTTTTGAAACTATTTGTAAATAAATGTTGAAGACAAAAGGATATAAATACACAAAATATAAATCCGGATCTTGTTGGGATTCCGGTTCAGCTATTAGTTTTCCAAAATGGCGTCTTACTTGGAAAACACGCGAAAACATTTTCAAACAAATAACAGAGTGAGGGAATCGCAGGCACACTCGGCGAAGGTTCATTCAGTAGCATGGAATTGTGATGGGAGACGACTTGCCTCTGGGTCATTTGACAAAACTGTCAATGTTTTCATGTTGGAACGAGACAGATTGGTAATTGTGATTTCGATTTATGGGCCGGTTTCTGTGTGAATTTGAAAACAAAGCATATCACAGATCACAGATCATGTCCGTAAATATAAAGAATGCAAATCATACAATATTAAACACCCTGCTTCAGCATAAAGGCATTTTTTCATGATAACACTTTCAGTAAATAAGTGTGATCATATCCGAGAAAAGGCTGTGTATTGAATTGGAGAAAATTACTCAAGTGTCTTCAAATTGTTGAAGTTGGTCAGTATCCTATAAGTATAGAAGTCTTTAACGTTAAGCACAGGCATTTGCATACTAAGAGAAATAGTCTATCCTACTATAGTGTCAATATACAATAAAGTTTAGTATGGAAGACTATTTTATATTTTGCGTATTTACATACCAAATGCAGATGCTTCTGTGCTGATGAGCCTATACTTTTGAGAAATTTTTAATTCATTCTCAATTTCACAGACACGTGTGGCATACATAAAATGTGTTAGAAATGAGACATGGCTGATGGACTGTCATATTAACGCTGGCATTGAAATTTACATTTGCAGAGACCTGGCATAATTAATACATCTGACAACTGTTTAGATTCTGTCCTTACCAGTTTATCTCTACATAATGGCCAGAGTCTAGTTATACAAATGACTTGATACTTCTTTGTTGTGTGACAGGTGAAGGATTTGACCTTTCGTGGCCATGGCGACAGTGTAGACCAGCTGTGCTGGCATCCCAAACACCCAGATCACCTTGTCACCGCAAGTGGAGACAAAACTGTCAGAATCTGGGATGCAAGAACCAACAAATCTGTCGCAACAGTTAACACAAAAGGTAGAATTTGTAGGTCTGGAGAAGGGCTGTTCTGACTTGAAGAAATTATAGTACTCACATCTACTTTATAAACCACATCACATTATTTGTGACAAGCCAAGCGAGTATGATTATTGTAAGACAAGATGTGCTACTGGTTAATGTTTAATGATTCCCTAATCAACCTTTACAGTAACGGGATGCTAGCTTGAATTAAAGAGCTTTGATCATCCTCGAAATTCCTTGGGTTTCTTTTATGTTCTCACTACCCCTGCAGCTGGAATATGTCATGACAAAATCAAAGGTTCTGCACGCAACACCTTGTGGATGATACAAATGGGCTAGCTTGACCCATTAATGTGCTAAACTGTGTGTCAGCGTTACAGTAAAAAAAGATATATTTTTTTATCTCCCAATCACATCCCTAGAACAGCATTTAGGGTAATACTAGGATATGGTAGTCATTTTGGCAGTACAGCGTAGTCTGTAGACACTGTCAGTTCTTAGTAGTTATGAGAATGATTTTAAAGCTACGTATACATTGTTAGCTCACCTGGTCCGAAGGACCAAGGTGAGCTTATGCCATAACGTTGCGTCCGTCGTGCGTACGTCCGTACGTACATCAACAATTTCTTTAAATGACTACTTCTTCTTAACCACTGATTGGAATTCAACTAAATTTGACTGGAAGCATCCCTAGGAGGTGGGGATTCAAAATTGTACAAATGGTGAGGCTGACCCCCCAGGGGGCTGAGGGGCGGGGCAAAAAGGGGTCAATTTGGCTATATTGCTTTAAGCAACTTCTTCTCTGGAACTAAGAAGTGAATATCAACCATATTTGACTGGAAGCATCCCTAGGTGGTGGGGATTCAAAATTGTACAAATGGTGAGGCTGACCCCCCAGGGGGCTGAGGGGCGGGGCAAAAAGGGGTCAATTTGGCTATATTGCTTTAAGCAACTTCTTCTCTGGAACTAAGAAGTGAATATCAACCATATTTGACTGGAAGCATCCCTAGGTGGTGGGGATTCAAAATTGTACAAATAGTTGGGCTGACCCCACAGGGGGCTGAGGGGCGGGGCCAAAAGGGGTCAATTTGGCTATATTGCTTTAAGCAACTTCTTCTCTGGAACTAAGAAGTCGATATCAACCATAATTAACTGGAAGCATCCCTAGGTGGTGGGGATTCAAAATTGTACAAATGATGGAGCTGACCCCCAGGGAACTGAGAGGCGGGGCAAAAAGGAGTCAATTTGGCTATATTGCTTTAAGCGACTTCTTCTCTGGAACTAAGAGGTGAATATCAACCATATTTGACTGGAAGCATCCCTATGTGATGGGGATTCAAAATTGTACAAATAGTGGGGCTGAGGGCGGGGCCAAAAAGAGGGCAATTTGGCTATATTGCTATAAACGACTTCTACTGTAGAACTATGCCATGGATATTGATCATATTTGGTCGGAAGCATTCATGGGAGGCAGGGATTCAAAATTGTACAAATGGTGGGGCTGACCCCCCGGGCTAAGGGGTGTGGCCAAAAAAAGTGTATTACTTGGAAATGGTTGAGATCCCCACCATATAACCATGGTATACAATTGCTGAGTATAAAGAGAAGAATGCACATTTGCTTCAGGATGGCTATAGGGTCTGGTGCCACCCTTGGAGACATAGTCCCTGGGCCATAACTTTAAAACTGTTGAGATCCCCACCCCAAAACTATATATACAAATGCTGGGCATAATCCCTAGGGACCTAGTTTGTTAGTCACAGCTTGGAAACAGTTGAGAGCCCCACCCTATAACCGTATATACAATTGCTGAGTATAAAGAGATGATTGCACATATGCTTCCAGGATGGCCTTGGGGACTGCCCCACCCTTGGAGACTTAACCCCTGGGTCATAACTTCAAATGGTTTAGATCCCTGACCCCAAAACTATATATACAATTGTTGGGCATAAAAAGACGAATGCAGTCATGATATTAGAATTGACTCCAGGGTCTGCCCCACCCTTGCAGACTTAACCCCTGGGTCATAACTTTGAAACAGTTGAGATCCCCACCCCATAACCATACATAAAATGCTGGGCATGAAAAATCTAATACAGATATGCTACAAGGATTGGCCTTGGGGTCTGATATATTCCCTTGATCTCATTCGGAGAATATTTTGCCATGATTGCTTTGGTATCCAGGTGAGCGATACAGGCCCTCTAGGCCTCTTGTATTAATTTAAAAAAAAAAGAAACCCACCAGAGGTAAAGTTTAACTGAGAAGTAATATAGGTGTAGTTGTCAACTCACAATATACAACAGGTTTTGTATGATTCAAATTATGGCAAGATTTTATTTTGCTTCTGTAAAAACTTAACGCAAATGTGTATTGTTATGTCCATGTTGTGTTTGTTGTTTAGGGGAGAACATCAACATCTGCTGGTCACCTGATGGGAGTACAATCGCTGTGGGCAACAAAGATGACCTCATCACATTTATAGACATCAGAAGTCACAGGTCAAGGGCAGAGGAGCAGTTCAAGTTTGAGGTCAATGAAATTTCCTGGAACAATGAAGGAGATTTGTTCTTCCTGACCAGTGGTCAAGGCAGTATACACATCCTAAGGTACACAGCATCCTTGTCTCTGGTTCTGTTTCTAAATTTGAGAAGCAATGTTCTTCTCTCAATGCTATTGTTAAGTTTGTTTTATATGTTAATATCTAATATATCTTTTATAATGACTCAGACAAGTGCAATATAATTGAACTGTAATTTTTCACTTTTTTTCAACATACCAATTAAATAATTTTAAACTCATTTGACCTCTGTGATTTCTGATGACTTTTGAACCTGGAAATCTAAAATCAAGGGTGGCAACTGGCCAGCTTGCGATGGCACCCTTACTAGAGCTTTTGATCTAGCATGGACTCCATCCATTAACACATATTGCCGTTAGATTACCTGTGGTTGGTTAGTGTCTGAATAGCTGGTGTACTATAAAGACGTATTTGTACATTTTGACAGTTACCCAGAGCTGAAGCTACAGTACTCACTGACAGCTCACCCAGCCAACTGTATTTGTATTGAGTTTGACCCTGTGGGAAAATACTTTGCCACAGGAAGTGCTGATGCCCTCGTCAGTCTCTGGGACTCCAACGAGCTGGTGTGTGTGCGTACGTTCTCAAGGTTAGTGGAGTCAACACAATTAGACATTTTCACAAATATTTTAGATTCATACAACAAGACATTCCTAGGCTGCTGTAGAGATTATTCATTTTAAAAGAGATTTTTTTACTTTTACTTACAGTAGGAAATTACTTTACATATTGTAATGCTACGCAAAGGGGCTTGGCACAGATCCCAAACACCACAGTCCATAAATATGTGAATTAATGCATGATACCAAATCCCATGGTCCGTATATATGTGTATTTATGGAGTTCCAAACCCCATGGTCCGTATATATATGTGTATTAATGGAGTTCCAAACCCCCCCATGCTCCGTATATATGTGTATTAATGGAGTTCCGAACCCCCCATGCTCCGTATATATGTGTATTAATGTAGTTCCAAACCCCATGCTCCGTATATATGTGTATTAATGGAGTTCCAAACCCCCCATGCTTCGTATATATGTGTATTAATGTACAATTCCAAACATCATATTCTGTATATGTGTATATGAACGCAGGATTCCGAACCCCAGTTCGTATAAATGTGTATTTATCCATAATCCCAAATCCATAGGGGCGTATATATAAGGCCTGTTGGGTTTGTGATCTGTTGCCGGCCTGTTGGGTTTGTGATCTGTTGCCGGCCTGTTGGGTTTGTGATCTGTTGCCGGCCTGTTGGGTTTGTGATCTGTTGCCCACCCCTGTAAAGCTAAGGACAAGGGATGGGATGGAATGGTTATTGATCTTAAATCTTAAGTTAACTAAAGACATTTTAAGTGATACCGTGATTGTGTTTGATTGACAGGTTGGATTGGCCGGTGCGAACCTTGAGTTTCAGTCACGATGGACGTCTGCTAGCGTCTGCTTCTGAAGATCTGGTCATAGACATTGCTGAGGTGGAAAGTGGTATGTATGACCTTCACTATGATATATTAGCTAAATGAGGCTGTAAATATGACCTTTACTACGATATATAAGCTAAATGAGGCTCTAAAAATAACCTTCACTATGATATATTAGCTAAATGAGGGTGTAAATATGACCTTTACTACGATATATAAGCTAAATGAGGCTCTAAATATGACCTTCACTGATATATTAGCTAAATTATGCTGTAAATATGACCTTTACTACGATATATAAGCTAAATGAGGCTCTAAATATGACCTTCACTGATATATTAGCTAAATGAGGCTGTAAATATGACCTTAGTAGTTCAGTGAAGATATCAAAGGATTTGTTTGGAATCTCATCTGTAATAACAAGCAGTAAATAGAACTTAATATCAATCTAATATCAAATATGTGTTTAAGTAGAAATTTAAAGACTTCATTTGTTTAGTTCTAATGAAAATGTCATTTGTCACTTTTATATGCTTTAATTAGTCGTGAAATTTGGTCTCTTGAAAAAGAATTACTACTATCACTTTTGAGAAATTATTCAGATCCTGAATATAAGCATATGGTACGAACTTTAATACCTAATTATCGATGCAGAATTTAAGACAAGTATTGGTAAAGTCAGAATTTGTGCTCTGTTGACTCGTAAGTTTTTTTGGGAAAATATAAGTAAATGTCTTCAGACCTTTCCTATTGTTTCCTGAATCAGACACATTGATTTGATTTGCGTAACACAATTAGACTCCAACTGACTACAGCTTTGATAAATCATCTTTGAAAAGAAAACCATATCTTTTGTGAGAAATTAACCAAGATGAAATAAACAAAATTTTATCAAGAGCAGTGTTCCAAGTGTAAAAAATCAGGGGGGATAGACCTGGATTTGAACCTTAAGCCTCAAATCGTAACACTGTCCCTCTAACCAACTGAGCTCCCTGATCAACGGAAGTGTTCTGGCCTAACTGTGCTACAGTTGTAGCCAAAACGAAATTAAGGGGAGGCCAGAGTGTAGGGAAAGGGGTTAACAAAACGAGCACTAATGTATAAATCTCACTGATCATTTCCTTGTCAAATGTTCACGTTTATCACAACAGGTGAAAAGGTCACAGAGATCGCGTGCGAGTCCCCAACATTCACAGTGGCCTGGCATCCGAAGCGCTACCTACTGGCTTTCGCTTGTGATGACAAGTACGAAGGACATCGAGACGAACGAGGCACGGTCAAAGTGTTTGGTATTCCCAGCGACCCCTGACCTGTGAAGGACTTGGTTAGAGGATCAAACTGATTAGGTTATTGAACCAACATGTCTGTAAAAAGACGATAGCCTCGTGATTGACCCCAGAGTCAGATCTTGTATGTAAAACAGAGATTGCTGTTGTCAAGGTTACAAGGTACTAACAGGTATTTTCCGACTGTCTTTAAGACTCTGGCAGTTGTTTAGCTGGATAGAGATCTAATCATCAGAAAGACGAAGAGGCTTGTTGATCAATGGTTTACATGGGCTGTTATAGTTTATCTGAAGCATTTATGGATTCCATTGGTTTATACTGAAGACGGTGCCTTTTTAGTCAGAAATCTGGTGACATTTGACCAGGATACTGTATTATATATTGAATTTCACAGCAGTGTTTTATATCAGTAGCATAAAGAATCGTCATAACCTTAAATTAGCAGCAAAAAATAAGTCTGAGCTCATCAATCTTTAAGAAATCACCTACAATTATATGTGGTATTTTATGATTCTATGGTGAATGTTTTGTAGTACATGTATAAATATGTCCAGGTTTTCCTTGTCACAGCTTTAACGGACCTCTCACAGGGAACAAACGACAGACATTGTGTGTGATCTATGTATTACAAACAATAGTATATGTTAGCAAGCGGGTACATGAACTTTGTTTTTTCTGACATTCTCTTTGGTGCAAATGTGATACAAGACCTTTGCAGTATGAATTGAATTTGTAGCAAAGTTGGCAATGTGTTTGTAAATGTATGGTTGCTGATGCGAGATATTAAAGAGAAATACATTTCAAGCAAGTGAGCTTGACCATTGGAGTGAATAGTCTGTTGACTTTGTACAGGGACTGTCACATGATACTTGGTTAGGTTTAGGGTGAATAGTCTGTTGACTTTGTACAGGGACTGTCACATGATACTTGGTTAGGTTTAGGGTGAAGTCTGTTGACTTTGTACAGGGACGGTCACACGATACTTGGTTAGGTTTAGGGTGAATAGTTTGTTGACTTTGTACAGGGACTGTCACATGATACTTGGTTAGGTTTATGGTGAATAGGCTGTTGACTTTGTACAGGGACGGTCACACGATACTTGGTTAGGATTAGGGTGAATAGTTTGTTGACTTTGTACAGGGACTGTCACATGATACTTAGTTAGGTTTAGGGGGAATAGTCTGTGGACTTTGTACGGGGACTGTCACATGGTACTTGGTTAGGTTTAGGGTGAATAATCTGTTGACTTTGTACAGGGACGGTCACATGATACTTGGTTAGGTTTATGGTGAATAGGCTGTTGACTTTGTACAGGGACTGTCACATGATACGTGGTTAGGTTTAGGGTGAAGTCTGTTGACTTTGTACAGGGTCGGTCACACGATACTTGGTTAGGTTTAGGGGGAATAGTTTGTTGACTTTGTACAGGGACTGTCACATGATACGTGGTTAGGTTTAGGGTGAAGTCTGTTTTCTTTGTACAGGGACTGTCACACGATACTTGGTTAGGTTTAGGGGGAATAGTTTGTTGACTTTGTACAGGGACTGCCACATGATACTTGGTTAGGTTTAGGGAGAAGTCTGTTGACTTTGTACAGGGACTGGCACATGATACTTGGTTAGGTTTAGGGAGAATAGTCTATTGACTTTGTAGAGGGACGGTCACATGATACTTGGTTATGTTTAGGGTGAATAGTCTGTTGACTGTGTACAGGGACAGTCACATGATACTTGGTTAGGTTTAGGGAGAATAGTCTATTGACTTTGTAGAGGGACGGTCACATGCTACTTGGTTAGGTTTAGGGTGAATAATCTGTTGACTTTGTACAGGGACGGTCACATGATACTTGGCTAGGTTTAGGTTGAATAGGCTGTTGACTTTGTACAGGGACGGTCACACGATACTTGGTTAGGTTTAGGGTGAAGGCTGTTGACTTTGTACACGGACTGTCACACGATACTTGGTTAGGTTTAGGGTAAATAGTCTGTTGACTTTGTACAGGGAAGGAAACATGATACTTGGTTAGGTTTAGGGCGAATAGTCTGTTGACTTTGTACAGGGACTGTCACAAGATACTTGGTTAGGTTTAGGGTGAAGTCTGTTGACTTTGTACAGAGACTGTCACACGATACTTGGTTAGGTTTAGGGTAAATAGTTTGTTGACTTTGTACAGGGACTGTCAGATGATACTTGGTTAGGTTTAGGGTGATTAGTCTGTTGACTTTGTAGAGGGACTGTCCCATGATACTTGGTTAGGTTTAGGGTGAATTGTCTGTTGACTTTGTACAGGGACTGTCACATGATTCTTGGTTAGGTTTAGGGTAAATAGTCTGTTGACTTTGTACAGGGAAGGAAACATGATACTTGGTTAGGTTTAGGGCGAATAGTTTGTTGACTTTGTACAGGGACTGCCACATGATACTTGGTTAGGTTTAGGGAGAAGTCTGTTGACTTTGTACAGGGACGGTCACATGATAGTTGGCTATGTTTAGGGTAGGCAATGCTTCAGTCCACAGGTTCTAATGAACTGTTAAGGATAATGTCACATGATACTTGGTTAGGTTTCGGGTGAAGTCTGTTGACTTTGTACAGGGACGGTCACATGATACTTGGCTATGTTTAGGGTAGGCAATGCTTCAGTCCCCAGGTTCTAATGAACTGTTAAGGATAAAGGCCAAGTGTGTTTTGAACACAACCAGGATTTGAAAATTGACAAAGGAAACAGATGTTTTTGAAAGCTTGCTAAATAAGTTTTCAAGTCCTGTTTGTGTTTGAAACAAACTTAGCCTTTATTATTCATACCAAACTGATGAGTCGTATTCCAGGAACAGTTAGGGAGTTTGATGGCCCAGAATCTGAATGTCCAAATGCTTGGTAGTAATACCAATTAAAATTGTACACTGAATATGTCTGATAGTATGTGTGTGTGTGTATGATAAAATGTTTGTGTATGAAAGATTGTATATATGTGTAGAACAATACTGCATAATGTGTATGATTACCAATAAATGTGCTACTTCATTAACTGTGTAATGTTATAATCTGACTACAGAAGACCAGTCGCCATGCATCCTCAACCTTCAGACATTCTCAAAAATCTTCACAGATGATCTTGAAAGAAACTTAAGGAGCTTTCAAATCTTAAATGAGTTTCCATTTCATACCAAATTAGAAAATGAGCCCAGAAGTCTATAAGTTGCTGTAATAATGTTTTTCTCATCGTCATCAGTAGAAAATTAGTCAAAAACAGTCACAGGTTGATATCAACGGACTGGTATATAATTTGTATGTAGATTGAAAACATTCAAGTCACAGGTAGATAAACAACAAGCCATAGTTTTAAGATATAAGACATTTTTTAATGTGTCATTACAAGTTTTTGTCAATAACTTATACAAAAATATACATAACAAACATAAATTATACGGCAGAATTTGAAAATGAAACATCTTAATTCGATGGACTTGATAAATTTTAATGCATCATAGAAACTTTAACATATTTGCACTCTTACTATTGCTGTGTAACTCACCAGGTCTAAATATCATAATGTAATAAATTGTGATAGTTGATGGAAACTCGAAATGATAATTGATTTTAAATATTCAATATACGAAAGTCAATGTTAGTCAACAGAACAAAAATGTATGTTAACAAGAGAGAGGACTACTTATTGGGTATACTGTTATTGCCTTTTGATTTACAAGTCTTGGCAAACAATTAACATTATGTTGTTCGGATAACAAATTCATTTATCGAGTAACATTTCATAAAGCTGAAAATTCTATTTTATTTATCCATGATAAGCTGTGTAACAAATCAAAACTATGATATAACAACACTTGGAGGATAAAATCATGGACGTGTCTACTTCTCCAATGTTTTATAAAAATAATAATGGTTCTCTAATTCTGAAACTTACATGTCTTTAAAACTTGAGTAATGATTAACATACGTTACTGGCTATTATAACTGAAGACTTCCAACCTCAGTGTGTTAACAGTAGATAAACTGACCAATACAACACTCCCAATAACCCAACAACCACTGACCATGTGATCCATATGATGACCTTGACCTTTGTTCATTAATGATGAATGAATTTTGACACAACATCTGCTATAAAATCTCTTTAAACTGAAGTTTCGCTGAATACTATGTTTCCCCCACTGATATTCCATACATTGTATGAAAATGGTGTTTCAGGATAATATTACCAGTATTAAGTGTAATCTACTGTACTATAAATCCGTGACCACAAAGATTTCAAGAGTTGCCTCTACTCAAACTCCAGCAGTAGCATACAAAGGAAAAGTCCAAAGGCCTCTAGGAGTCGACATCCTCTAGATTTTTCACTGAAATAACATAGTGGAGCTTAAGTCTGGATTAGAGGTAGACTCTAGAAATGTTTGTGTATCAGGACCAGGCTGTCAAACCTTCATGTATCTGTAAACTACATCATCTTCAGTAATGTAAAATTGCTGCAATATCTAATCCTCCATCTTCTAAACTTCTTTAATAATTTGTCAAAACAACTGACCCTGTATTTACCAAAACTATGAATCGGGTAATACATTTGATTCTGGCGAGTTCATGATCAGTTTAAACAGCTTTCATAGCACAACAATAAAATTATGAAATTTTAGAACAGTTCCTAGATAATGGCTTTGATTGACATTAACGATTTCATGTGAGCACCCGGAAGTCTCTACTGCATTGACAAAAACAGTACTGCATAACATTAACTATAGCTGCAGGGGTAGGGGGAATATAAAAAAAACACATATTCATGCTTACACAAATAACATCTACAGTGATATATATTGCATACAATTACTAGATTAATAACAGTATACCTGTACCATTTGTACTCATTAACAAATGGTAACAGCGAAAATTTTATATAATTGTAGTAAATACAAGTTTACACAACTATTTATCATTTTTCATATTTTGCAATTTTTATAGGTGCTGCCCTTAGGGCTGTTACACCGTAATTTTCATATGATTTATAGTAAATATCACAGTTATCTTCGTAGTGTGCCAGACATAGCTGGCGTTAATGCTGGTTACCGCTGGTGGGCGTGCTTGGTCTCTAGCGTGCCTCGGTACGCACTTGGAGACTTGGGCGACTGTAAAGAAAATATGGGGTATTAAGTATATACTGTAGTTAACAAAGTATTATATTGATGGAGTAGACCAATGATACCTTTAAGTACACATAAATACCTTATTTTGCATATATAATTAATAACCAATGGTAGGGGAGCTTTTAACACTTTAAAATGGCTTTCAAAAGCAAAGCAATGAATGGGCAAATACGTAAATACTACAACACAATCGGTGTACATGTCAGAAACATGGTATTTAAAGATGTGATCTGTGAAATCTGTTTAACAAAGCATGGGCTTATGGTCATGGTATTATATATGTGATTTACCGAGCATAAACTATTTATCAATTTAACGTAATGTCTGTACCAATATACATTGAAATACAAAACATTATCATAATATAAATATACCAGTTTAGCAGTTATGTATATAAGATACAACGCCAACATTTAGAAAGATTCCATTTCTGAGGTAGGAGAGGGCGTACCTTTACACCAGCACTGTTCACTGGAATCTCCTCCATAAAACTGGCGGGCACCAGTCCCCGCCGACCATTGATCTGAAACACATCACACAAGGTCAAGGTCAGTCTCAAATGATATACTGTACTGCAATACACACAAGATTTAAATTCATATTAAAACAAGATTTATATCCCTTTATTATAAACAATATGTCTCACCTTACATCAATATTTGATCTATTCCACAGCAGGTATCTGAACATTTCTTCCCTAACAGCCTTAGTTTTAGTTCATTACTTGAGTTAATGCTAAAGTTCTTCAATTATAACATAATTATATGGAATCGAAACTACAAAGTTGCTTGTTCAGCTGTTGGAGAACTATTGACATGACGATCAGCTGGTGACCTTGAATTATGACCTTGACCCTACCTCTCCATAGTAGAAGCCATCCGGACGTTCTTTGCCATACACTGTAATGACATCCCCGGCATGGAAGGCGAGCTCGTAACTTGAGTTCTCTCGTGGCGATTGGTGGGCAGGATTATAGTCATACACTCCCAAAAACTGTAACCATGAAAAATATAATCTTCACCAAATTGTTTCAGTACTGAAACAAAACATCCTGTCCTGCATTTATATTTAGTAAAAAAACAAACAACAAAAAAGACTGATAGAGACACATGATAACCAACATTATAATTATAACGACACAATGAAAACAATATCACCATTACTAGAATTCAGTACTAACTACATTGCACTCACATAATATGAACGCAATCGCTTTGTATATTTATTTTATTTATTTATGTTACAATAAGACCATGATATATCACCCACTTGATATAAAGAGAGTAAGGATACTTTTGGACATATGATAGCTTCTATAATGACCAGCAAATACATCTCCGTACCATATGCCTCTTGCCTGAACGGAAGTCTGTACTGTTTAGGTGGCGTACAAGGTCCTTGCCCTCAGGTTCCCCCTCCACATCCTCCTTCCTGTTGTCAGGGCGATAGGTGATCTCCTTGACAACAGACACAGGACCATTGGTGGTGAGTGTCTGAATGCCGAGGCGGATAGAGTGACCGCTGTCTGGTGTATCCACTACGGCCTTGGACAGGTGTGGACTGTTGACCTGCTGCTGGACCTTTCCATTCATGTAGATCTGATGAATAGTATTATACATGTGTTGATATATGACATAAACTTTTCAAATTCATTTTCACCTGTTTGCTGAAAGTCTTGTTACATTTACTGTTCGAGTTGACACATTTAATTGTAGGCCAAGAGATCAAGGCTCAGAGATCAAGGCCCAGAAGGTCTATGGTAAAAGCGCCTCTGAAAGCGTCTGATATGAAGTTTGGAAAAATACTGTTAAATCATTTACAATTTTATATTCTTTTGTTCAAAAGACACAAATTAAAGTAATAGTGTGTGCCTAGTCAGACAAGCATTCTCTCATTAATAAGAGGTATACTATCAACCACAGAAATGTCTCCCAAACTCCATGTACAAAACCTATGACCTGTGATCTATGACCTAGCTTGTAACCTATGACCTGTGATCTATGACCTACCTTGTAACCTATGACCTGTGATCTGTTGCTTTGGGCTAGTTCATTTAGTTTAGGCGGTGTCCAGGAGAGCAGTATACTTCTGCCACCTGCGGTCTTCTCTGCTTTTAATTCTGTAGGAGGTTCTGGGACACCTAGGAACAATCATAAGAAATAGAATGACATTTACCGTTGTTGATCAATAAATTTGGATTACAAATTAAGAACAAATGATAATTTGAGTGTGAACCCTCAATGAACCATTACACAATGTGTTAATGTAGAGGAAACATACCATGTCTGAAGGACTCTATAACAGGGTGTTATATAGTGTGGCATCAAATACACTATCATTTCATATTAGTTAAATAAAACACAACATCAATGTCAATAGGAATTTCTTTCATACCAGATCGTTTAACTACAGACAAAATTATAAACATTACCTTTACTTTTACAATGTAACAGGAACAATAAAATGCTGACTACAGTGATCATTGTTACAAGGAGAGGATGAAGGTGTTACACACCTTGTATAAACTAAGGTGACAGGTGACTACACTGATTATAGTTACAAGGAGAGGATGAAGATGTTACAAACCTTGTATAAACTGAGGTGACAGGTGACTACACTGATCATTGTTACAAGGAGAGGATGAAGGTGTTACACACCTTGTATAAACTAAGGTGACAGGTGACTACAATGATCATTGTTACAAGGAGAGGATGAAGGTGTTACAAACCTTGTATAAACTGAGGTGACAGGTGACTACACTGATCATTGTTACAAGGAGAGGATGAAGGTGTTACAAACCTTGTATAAACTGAGGTGACAGGTGACTACACTGATCATTGTTACAAGGAGAGGATGAAGGTGTTACAAACCTTGTATAAACTGAGGTGACAGGTGACTACACTGATCATTGTTACAAGGAGAGGATGAAGGTGTTACAAACCTTGTATAAACTGAGGTGACAGGTGACTACACTGATCATTGTTACAAGGAGAGGATGAAGGTGTTACAAACCTTGTATAAACTGAGGTGACAGGTGACTACACTGATCATTGTTACAAGGAGAGGATGAAGGTGTTACAAACCTTGTATAAACTGAGGTGACAGGTGACTACACTGATCATTGTTACAAGGAGAGGATGAAGGTGTTACAAACCTTGTATAAACTGAGGTGACAGGTGACTACACTGATCATTGTTACAAGGAGAGGATGAAGGTGTTACAAACCTTGTATAAACTGAGGTGACAGGTGACTACACTGATCATTGTTACAAGGAGAGGATGAAGGTGTTACAAACCTTGTATAAACTGAGGTGACAGGTGACTACACTGATCATTGTTACAAGGAGAGGATGAAGGTGTTACAAACCTTGTATAAACTGAGGTGACAGGTGACTACACTGATCATTGTTACAAGGAGAGGATGAAGGTGTTACAAACCTTGTATAAACTAAGGTGACAGGTGACTACAGTGATCATTGTTACAAGGAGAGGATGAAGGTGTTACAAACCTTGTTTAAACTGAGGTGACAGGTGACCTTTGATATTCTTCTGACCTCGCGGGGACAGATTCCCCGGCAGGTGGCCATTGACACGGATACCTTGTCGTGGAGACAGTTCGGGTGGCACTGGATGTTACAAAGATATAACAGAAATATTACCACATATATTCTGGGTTATACAATCTCAGACATATACAGGGTCTGACATATTAGTTTTAATATATTCACACGTAACAGCCTTAATTGAGAGGTAGCAGAGGAAGACAACTTATCATAACACCTAATTATATGTATACTTGACTAACAGGTATATTCTTCTTCTTTCATTAAGAGACAAATCTCCAAGGATTGAGCGATTACTGTCTCCTCCTTGGTAATAATATAATTTCATACATTTTATGAAATATATCTTTGTTCTAATGTTATTGTTAATTTCACATGGAAAGTTACATTGATTGTAAATATGTCTTCCATCATGGAGTTTTAAAAATCATTAAATGTCACTGCCAAACCATGATGGTTTAACTGAATGACACTTACGATATCTATGAGGTTGGTGGGAGTGAAGACAATTACAATATCTATGAGGTTGGTGGGACTGAAGACACTTACAATATCTATGAGGTTGGTGGGACTGAAGACACTTACGATATCTATGAGGTTGGTGAGACTGAAGACACTTATGATATCTATGAGGTTGGTGGGACTGAAGACACTTACGATATCTATGAGGTTATTGGGAGTGAAGACACTTACGATATCTATGAGGTTGGTGGGACTGAAGACACTTACGATATCTATGAGGTTGGTGAGACTGAAGACACTTACGATATCTATGAGGTTGGTGGGAGTTAAGACACTTACGATATCTATGAGGTTGGTGGGACTAAAGACAATTACGATATCTATGAGGTTGGTGGGAGTGAAGCCACTTACGATATCTATGAGGTTGGTGAGACTGAAGACACTTATGATATCTATGAGGTTGGCGGGACTGAAGACACTTACGATATCTATGAGGTTATTGAGAAGGAAGAGGCATACGATATCTATGAGGTTGGTGGGACTGAAGACTCTTACGATATCTATGAGGTTGGTGGGAGTGAAGACACTTACGAGATCTATGAGGTTGGTGGGACTGAAGACACTTGCGATATCTATGAGGTTGGTGGGAGTGAAGACACATACGATATCTATGAGGTTGGTGGGAGTGAAGACACTTACGATATCTATGAGGTTGGTTGGACTGCTGTAACTGGTTGTGCATGTTGAGGACTTTCTCTGGGCTGGGGTCCAGGTGGGACGGCGTACTCTGCAGCTGTTGTTGGCGTCGTTCGTTAGGGCCTGGATTGAGATTTCCTAGATCCTCTATCCCTGACTTAGGCTGTACATGACTGGCTGGAACCAGGCCCACACGACCTTTGACCTCAGCTTCGTAATACCCGTGGTTATCTAATGGACCTACAATATTAATATTTTGTATCGTTAGAATGGAAAAAAAAATGGCCGTTACAGTGTAGATAAAGCCTGAACAAAAATGTTCAAAGTAATATTTAAAAACAAAAAACTGTTCAGAGAGAAATTGTATTTTTCCCTATTTCCTTCTTTAAATGCTGATTGAAAAATCAAATAAATAGTGCTGATAAATCAATGAATAAGTTTTCATTAATGAAAATACAGTCATTACATCAATATGACCATACAGTCATACATCAATATGACCATACAGTCATTACATCAATATTACCAGGTGTTTGAAGACTAACCTGTGATGGTAACGATGTCGCCCTCTGTGAGCTGTAACTCAAGTCGGGGACGCCCACTCTTGGAAAATGAACGGGGGTCATAGTCGGCCACAGCCACGTAGGCCGTTTGGTGTGGCATGTGACCCATGGGAGGTTGTTTGTGGCCTCGCTGTTCTAGACTGTGTACTGGCGACCGGTTGGGCCGGTGTATTAGAGGTAGCTGCTGCGAGGGTATAGGCCTCTGATGGCGGTCGTACTGGTCTGCCGACTTAGGTCGCCCGTTAACATTACCAGGAGATATATCCATGTCACTCCATGTACCCGGATCTAACACATCATTAAATGAGGACACTGAAGACGACCTCTGTATGTCCCCGCCATCAGAGTCTGGTTTGTTGTACTCCTCTCCAGCCATCTGTGCCTCCATGTGACGGAGCTGTTCTAGGAGGACAACAGGTTTACTGATGCCTTTCAGCTTCCGTAGCTCCTCCCCCAGTCGCTGTAGCAGCTCATCCTGAAAGAGGAATACAGAGGTAAATGTGAAACTACATATATCAAGTAACACGGGTAAAATCTGGATAGATCAAAGTCATTCAGGTAAACTGCAAAGGTCAAGTTCACTCAGGTAAAGCCATAAAGATCAAGGTCACACAACTAGGAATACAAATGTCAAGGTCACTCAGGTTAACATGCACAGATAAAGGTCACTCAAGATCGCAGAACAAGAAGATCTCATGAGTAACATATTTTGCATCTCAAATATGATTCCATACGATACATTTGTACAATATAATTACTTTTTCAAATAGCAACTCTATCTCTCCTTTATAGAAGTTCACTCACCTTTTCTTTGCACTTTTGTGAGAGACGATGAACTTTGGACTTTAGAGGTACAAGTGACAACACAGCCTCCTCTTTGGTCTGCTTCATCTGAGAGAACTACAAAACACAAACCAAGAGAATGAGTCACAAGGAAAGATCTGTCACAGTGGGGCCACAATAACTACAGATCTTGGATACTGTCAACAACTTGTATACTTACCGGGGTAACACTGTAATTACTTGTATACTTACCGGGGTAACACTGTAATTACTTGTATACTTACCGGGGTAACACTGTAATTACTTGTATACTTACCGGGGTAATACTGTAACCTTATATCTTTACATTGCAATGGTTTGGATACAAACATGTCTGATATTATAATGTGTCCACATTTAGCAGGAGTGTTTATCTAGAGAGTAAAGCCATGGTTTCTTGTAATTATAATATCAATGTGACATACCGATACATATGATGCCATAGGCATCTTGTGAATTATTATAACATTTCGACAAAGACTATTAGATCACAGTGAATTAATTCATATCAGTGCTCGGTTTTATAACCAAATACCACTGTAGCTACTTTTGTTATCAATAAATGGATATGCATTGTTAAATTTAAATCTGGATCCAAATTTGAACATTAAAACAAAAATAACTGTGAGTGTTGACTGTGACACGTGTGATTTTGTACAGATCCGTAGATACACAGATTACGACTTGTGATCAGTGATACGTGAGGTGAGATTGGTCACATGACTGTGTTGACCATGCATTCTGTTGTATTTGGCATGTGAAGTTCTTACGTCATTCTTACAAACATCAACATTAAATCAAGCTGTAGTAACCAAAGGAAAAATCAAAACAGGTGACTAAAGGGAGATAAGCCATAAAGGAAATCTGATGAGCGAGTGCTGGAATTAATGAAGCCTCCCTACAGTGACACTGGTAGCTCCAATGAAGCCTCCCTACAGTGACACTGGTAGCTCCAATGAAGCCTCCCTACAGTGACACTGGTAGCTCCAATGAAGCCTCCCTACAGTGACACTGGTAGCTCCAATGAAGCCTCCCTACAGTGACACTGGTAGCTCCAATGAAGCCTCCCTACAGTGACACTGGTAGCTCCAATGAAGCCTCCCTACAGTGACACTGGTAGCTCCAATGAAGCCTCCCTACAGTGACACTGGTAGCTCCAATGAAGCCTCCCTACAGTGACACTGGTAGCTCCAATGAAGCCTCCCTACAGTGACACTGGTAGCTCCAATGAAGCCTCCCTACAGTGACACTGGTAGCTCCAGAGGAATTAAAATTGTCCACGGGTTGTAATGTTCATACTTGTCAGTTAACTGATAGCTTCACAAATCAAAATGGGGGAAAGGATTTTAACCTTCGACCTTACATGGGCTTCACAGGTTCATCTGATCAGAGATTCTTAGTTCAGTTCATTCATATCAACTCCATGTTCCCCTATCTGTATCATAGTAAATTGTAATGAAAATTTGAAACAAAATAACTGAATTTTTCTAAAAATTCAAAATAAATACCATTTTGAAATAGAAGCCAACTTCTCACCATCACCATGCTGTGTCATGCAAACGGCCAGTAAACACAATAGCCAGAGAAAGATTACCTGTGACTTCACGTTGTCATAACCAACAATGTCCTTCTCAAGGCACACATTGTCTTGTTCAAGGGAGACAACTCTACCCTTACATTCTGAGATCTCTCTTAAAAGGTCTTTTATCTTTTCCGACTGATACAGGCAAAAAAAGCACAGAGAACCAGTATTACTTTATGTTTTTATTTTTAACATTTTTTTTATAAGAGGACCACAACATATTCAAGTTAAATCCTTGTGCATTGCTTTTGTTTGAACAGGATTATTAAATAAATTATATTTTCAGAACAGACTGTTGCAAAATTTAATACTTTTTAGTTGTTATCTCAGCCTATCAAATTTTCTTCAAATGTTTTGTTGAAAACAAAATAAAATAAATCTTAAATTAAATTATGTTTACTGAATATCTTTCACTGGTGAATTTTAATTCCGATTTTGTGACCTTGTACAACACTGTGTTTACCCTATCCTCTAAAACTTTGGAACATTCGTCAAGCTTGTCCTCCAGCTGGAAATTGTCTTCCTCTAACTGTGGGATGAGACTGACCTCTGACCTCAGAGAGGTCACCTGGTCCAGAAGTTGATTGTTTTCTGCCTCGGTAACCACTAGATCCTTTAAACATTCCTTCAGTGACTTACACTGTGTGGGAATAACATAGCAGAACTGTATCTATCAAATGGAATATTTTATAATGTGAGAGTATTCAGTTAGGATTCCTGTTGGCCCCGGCTGTTCAAAGCCTGTTTATCTTTTTAGAAAATTATCAAGGCAACTTTTCAAAATTCTATTTCTAAAGAAAATGTAAAACAAAATTCCATGTTCTTTATCAATAAATAATGTTTTAGAATTTGTATACATATACATGTATTTGCATTGTATACATGTAATTTTACTTTTTAATTTGTATATCATTATGTAATTTTACTTTCGAGTTTCAGTATTTTTGAAAACATGCTTTAGGTAAAAGTTTTACACATGTATTAATTGTCATTACGATAACTAACTGGGATCTAGAGCAGAAATAGAAACACTTTTAGTAGAATACTCCTGTAGGAGTTCGTAGGTATGTCTGTTCCTGTTTGTTATAGGGAGTAGATACATGTAGAGTTATGTATATAGGCATTATCCCTTTCACCACTGTAGACCATAATGGACTCGTCCAGATCAATGTATGGTAAAGTCTACTAAAGTTACCTAGGGGTGAAAGGGTTTACTAAAGGTAGAGAGTTAGTCTGTCAGTACCTGTTTGTTATAGGTAGTAGATACATGTAGTGTTATGTATATAGGGATTAAATAGACATTAAATAGGTAGAGAGTTAGTCTGTCAGTACCTGTTTCAGCAGCTTGTTGTTATCGTCTTTGGCACGCTTTAGAGACTTTTCCAACTCCTGCATTTCCTCAGCCTCCTGTTGGAGACATTGCAGGGAGTCGAGAGCGTTTTTTCTCATGTCCTCAATCGTACGGCATTCCTCCTGCCACTGTCGTAGCTCGCGCATCAAACTGTCTACTTCATTTCTCTGTGAAATATTGTCATGGAATTCTATATCAAGCATAGGTATTTTACACTCAGCAAACTATGCATGATAAACATTTTTCTTAAATTTGATCAAATATGTATACTGATCAACCCATGTACTTGGTACATTCTGGAATACAAGGGTTGGGCTTAAACAGAGCAAAACCTTGTCACTGAGCCAGAATAGGTCATTCACATTTTTACAGGAAGTGTTGGGATAGTGCTGAATTTTCAACTAAATGTATTTTGTTTTTTAACATTTTTGTTAGATGCCTAGAGTTATCTACCTTGGCAATAAGTTCCCGTTGCCGTTTGTTGAGTTCCATATTCAGTGCAACTACATCCTGTGACAGTTCTAGCTTCTTGTGTCCGGCATCAGCAAGCTCCTCCCTGACTTTGATCAACTCGGCCTCTACGATCTGGATGACCTCTTTACTGTTCCTCGCATCCTGTAGGTCAGATTACACAGTTAAGTACAATACAGAGGGGAATGGACTGCATACAATTTTAACATAGCAGGGAATTCAATCTATATAAACTTAAATGACGTTTTAAGAATGCAAGTTTAAACAATTTACATATTTTTAAGTTTAGAGAATAGTGTCGACAACTGTAAGGAGTCTCTCCCTATCATACTCTTTGTATCATATATTTTTTCTCGTCTACAGTAAGATCTGCTTAAATCATCTTGACTGCCATGAAAATATTTTGAAATATCCAAATGTTCCAGATATCCTGGTGTCCAGGTGTTGACCTCCAGGTGTTGACCTCCAGGACATATTGATTCAGAGTAATGACTGGTAAAGGTCACCAATTTAAACATCAGGTTCAACACGGCGACATTAGAACATCAATCCTAGCAGTAAGTTAACAATTTACACATTACGACACAGAGTAGATATAAACAACACTAAAATAGTGGCAAGGATATATACCACCTTTTGAACTAGAATACATGAGGCCATTGAAAACCATTAACAAGACCCCATCCTAAAGAGATATGAAAATAGGCTAATGGAAAAAAAGGTTGAACTTTTTAAATTCTGCTAGGAAAATTGTTTTTTTTAAAGTTTGCATTACAAAACAATTCTGGAAAAGGCTGAAATCAGCCAGATAGCAGCTATGTTTTCCCCGAGATCTATCAGGATAGATCGTCACATGACAATAACCATCGCTGGTCATGTGACAAGTGTCAGTGAATTTTATTTGCCACTTGAGTAAGACAAAGGGGTAGTGTTGTAATCTTGTGCTTTCTAATCCTCAGATCCTGACAGGAAATTACCAAATGTAACTTACCTTCAGCTGAAGAATGTCGGACATTTTGTCAAGGAACTTCTCCAGGATTAGGATGTAGCGACATTTGTTTTCCAAGTCTTTTTCTAGCTTTGTTATCTGCAAACCAGACAAGTTCATCATAACTCTAATATTCAATATATTTTAATTTGTTTGGCACCAGCTTCATTTATCAAGCAGACTAATTTTTTGATTGTATATATTTAATCTCTGTTTTCCCAGGCCTCTTTTACATGTATAGCAACAGGAAATCGAAGGCAAATGAAACAAATGTCAATGTTTTGAAATTCAAAAGTTGTGAAAAAGATTTTCTAAAGTGATGATGTACTGAAACCGCTTTCCTGTAAATATTCTTTCAAATTATTTTATTTCCATTGATGTATCTCCTAATGCTTTTAACCTGATCAGATATATTTGGGGCTCAGGGCTCTATACAACACTGTAAAAAAGGAGACAGATTTTTGGAGAAATTGATAAACGCCACAACACAATATTCCCCCAACAAAGAAAACAGCAAGTTAGAAAAGTGAAAAAACCAGTTTGAATGTAAAAAGATTCTGGAGAACAAAGGTGTCAAACAGAGCGAGATCTCTCCTTAATTGTTCCTTAGGGTTGGTTTTTAATGAACTTGTTTTGCAATTCTTTTGGAGTAAAATTGAAAACAAACTTGTAAATTTATCAGTACATGTTTATATAATGAAATTGGAGCTAAAAACAACAAATAACAAATAAATGAAAACTATGTTCAATTAAAGGAACTCTTTAAAAATGAGAGACAGATGAAGAAGTTCTTCAAAGAGGGGAGATTTGGAGGTAGGAAATCTTCAAAGAGGGGAGATTTGGAGGTAGGAAATCTTCAAAAGAGGAGAATTAGAAATTATTAATTGAGGGGATGGGGTAGAAATTACATAAACAAAAGGGGAGAGAGATTTGACAATAATGAAAGTAACACACTTACATCCTAAAGTATACCTTACTGACAGTGACAAATCACAGATTACAATACTTTATACATGGCCAGATAAAACATTGACCAAACTGTCAGACTACCAAGTCAAAGCCTACTGTGTAATAACTAGGTCACAGCTACCCAATCCAGTGCTCGATTCAAACAACTTAAGCAGATCTGTGAGTGTGCGTGAACTTGCTGCCGTGACCTTGACATGTGACCTTGTCAATAAAGCACACAGTACCCGACTGATCCAGTGTAAGGAACCTTATAGGACCAGACTATTGTGTTGTTAAGACTAACGTGATCGCAGATCAGACAATAAGTGAAGATATCCCAGCATGCAATTGTGACACAATGTACGTTTACTTTTAGCAAATCTCAGAATATTTCATTGATGAACAAACAAAAAAAGGAAAAACCAACATAAAAAAATCAACCAAACAACATCAACAACACCTTCCAAAATTACATATTTTAATCAATAGCCTTTGTAATACAAAGTTATTTCTTCCATAAAACAGACTTAAGATAGATCAGAGGCGAGTGTCACAATATGTAGTGCCCAGATACATTCTCGATTTTACGTGAACACAAATATTTTTCAAGATGTCTGACTTACCTTGGCCTTACGTCTTAGTGCTGGAGGGAGCTATATCAAAGGTACCAGGGGATACAGTAACCATAGTAACAACAAAGGTTCATCAGTAATTAAGGGGATGGTATCCAGGTGGCAGGGAGGAGAGGTAGAACCAATGTAAATGAGCCTTGACACATATAATTCTATAGTTTTTATTGATGGGTGCCTTGATAGAAAATGGGGGAAGGTAACATTGTACCATTAGGGGAATATACAGTAAACAGTGTGTACATCGGAGTAATGGGGAGGAAGGGGAATCCGGGGTAGGGGAGGGGGAAGAATTATATATACAGATACACCAACCATTACAAACGACTGTCTTAAAATGTTTGTTCCCATGATAAATAATACCAATGTAAAGCTGTAGATTATCTACTGCATTAAAAAATCAAATCTCACTGACGGAATAATGAAATTGTTAGAAATATTTTTTATTGTTATGTAACCTAGATGATAAAGAGGGAGATGTGAACTGGACTTACCTCTTCCTTGAGGTATCGGTTTTCCTTATCGTAATTCTCCATCTGACGCAGAGCCTCAGACGTCTACAATTAAACATGGCGAGGGCAAAATTAGCATTGAAATAATCCTACCATGTAGACATGTCTAATATATGAGGTGGGATTATTATTGAGCAATATTAATGAACTAGTTATCTTCAGTAAAATCTGAAAAAGTATTTCTTTTATTAATATATCACATGTAGAGTGTAATGCCAATAATCATACCTTTGCTTTCCAGATCATGACATCATCATCGTCATCGGTTACCTCACTAGTCGTTGGCTTTTTCTGTCAAATTAACAGTAACAAATTAACTCAACAATACCTGTGCATACTATGGTGCCTTTTTTACTATGAATAATATTATTTACAATGGAAAATAAAAAAAACTTTGATAGAATTTGACTCTTAACTATCATTACTGAGTCTTCACCAAACTTTGCTCTTATCACAAGGTAACGATATACCAGTAACAGTATCAGGAATTTTCGTTTATATTTGTAGCTATAAACAATGATGTGAAACATTATTATATGAATTACTACGGTTTAATGCTTCTTTAAAGATTTTGAAACAGTAAAGATACTAACCCTTTACATGCAGAGCCTGACCTATCTATGTGATCTATTTACCTGTAGAGCCTGACTTATTTATGTGATCTTTTTACCTGTAGAGCCTGACTGATCTCTGTGATCCTATCCTGAAGGGCCTGACTCTTGAGTGTGGACACGGTACCGTGCCCACTGTCAGGCATGCTCAGCATCGAATGAGGAGTCTGGAGTGGAGCAGACACCATGTGGTAATCCTGCTCAAACATTATCTCGTCCGGTAAATCCTGTTCCAGTCCAGGAAATCCAGCAGAAGCGAAATTATCGGCAGCGTTAAACGTGGAGTTCAAAGATGGCGGCTGGCTTTGTGGCAGTGGTGGCGGGGCCTGAGAGTCGACACTCTCTGTGGGGCGAAATTTTCTCCTTTTTATCAAAGGGCTTGCCATAGTGGAATCTGTGTCATTCTGTGTACTATATATATTTTGACTGTCTGTTTCAGACGGGAGCGTTAGTCCTAACACAAGCTCCTCGTCCGGATTTAAGCGGGACGCTTTTTTGGCACTTGATTGGTTAAGACTGGTGGCCTTTCCTACGTTGACCCACCGTTTGTCTTGTTGGTTGACCCCTGTTGCCCTGGGTGACAGGGATTCAACCTGTTTCCAATGTGCCTCTTCCAACGGATTCTCCGCGGAATCAAGATGGCTGACCAAATCATCTATCATCCGCTGTCGATCGTCGGATACTAGGTGTGCATTGGGTACATTTCTATGTCCCCGCGCAGCCTGTCAACAAAATCAGCAATAATTAAACTATGATATTATAAAAAGTAGCTCACCTAAAAATACCTTCTATGTTCTAAACACTTCGGGTACAGATAGTTTGGAAAGGCGTTTTCTTGAAAAAGAAGCCAGAATGAATATTTTTGGTTTATGTGTCACCAAAACCATCTTGTATTTTTTAAACATATATCTTCATTTAGTATCATGTTCTGATTATTATTCATGTTAAAGTCAGATTTTTGATGACAGTTTTATCGTTGTGTGACATGTTTAGATATATATTATATTTACAGGTAATACTAAAATACATAGAGCGTTAGGGTTATACTGTAAACAGTATATCTGCTGTAACACTGATGGTTAGAGCTGAGATAATGTAAATACTATGTGGATTATACAAACATCGATACAAAGCACCATCCTCATGCATACATGATTGTTTATATACTGTTATCATACTCAAGTATTAGCAAAGTCATATTTTAACACCTAAGAGTACATAGTCAGTCTTGTATTTTAATCATAAATGTTTTTCCTTGAACAAAATTTGTCAAATATGTCTTTAAGCAAGCTGTACTTCTATAGCTGTAGTGCTGTACTAATAAAATGTTCGCATCAGAAATAGCATGAAAGGTGCTAAAATATGAATATCATCAAAATAAGTACATACACAGTTTGTACACAGGAGACCATTGCCCACAGTACATGTTACCTTCCTGCTGCAATGACTAATACACCATTATCCTTCTGATCATTGATACTGCTCAAGTATTAACGAAGTCTTGCGGTTCCATTATCATTCATTTTCATACTGATTTGTATGACTCTTGTACATGTGAGTCAAATTAACAAAAGTTTGTAACTGGTGAAAGTTTGAAGACACATATTTTTAATTTGATGATAATTAAGCAATGACATTGTATGGTGTAGAATAGATATCTATATTGATAAAAGGGAAGTGCATAGTATACAGTGTTAGTTTGTATATATTAAGCTTGCCAGGTAACTGTGTCATTATAAGCATGAAAACAGCTGGGTTCAATGTAAGCATGGACAAAATTGTGTTCCTGTGGAAATCCCTGTGTTCATTTATAACCAATTTTTGGAAATAGCTATGTTTTAGTAACCATGGAAACTGGTGTGGTCCTTATAATGTGAATTTTTGCTGTGTTCTTGATAAGCAAGCTACATTATGGAGGTAAGCTGACTCGGGACATGTATCAGCTTCATTGTAACCATGGAAATAGCTTTTTTCATATTGTCACTAAGGACATAGCTGTAATCATTGTTACCATGGTAACAACAGAGCACCTTATATAGGCATCAATGAAGCGCCTTGATTTTGTGCACTCAAACATTTGTTGTTTTGCTCTTGGAACAACTTTTGGTGAAATATAACCAGACTTTACAGTGAATGTGTTATGACTTCCTCCCCACACCAGGCTCCAGATTCACAAAATTACAACTTAAATAAGTCTCAACGGAATCTTCCTCTCAAATGTTTAAGATTTTAGTTATTGAGAAACACTGAAGTACATGTATATGCTTTAATTGTTATCTCAATATTCTCTTTTAATTCCACATCTGATCATACAAATCCCTTAAAGAATTCAGAATAATCATAAAGTTAAGAATTTTGATGATTCTGAAACCAGAAACACACCAATATCCCCTTAAGCCGACAGATCCTGTCGCAGATAGAGCTCACTACCATGTTAACCGCTGCAGATAGAGGTGCCTCATTCAATAGACACCACAGCACCATACACATTACAACAATGCTCAGTAAAAATAGTCATACACCATACACATATGTAAGGTTGATCTTTTAGTCTAGATTACAGAAGAGAGCTGTTGCAAAAATCTGTGTAGCAAAAGAGTTTTTATCTGTAAGCATTTTCAATAATTGATAATGTATACAAAAAATTACATTGATTACATCTGCAATTATGATTTTATACCTCTCAAACATTGCAATATCAAGGATTTTTGTTATATGATTATTACGGGTATGTTTGAATAACAGTGATTCATATAAGTTGAAAAAATTGTTTCATAATTGTTGTAAAATAAATAAAGTTTACATTTTAGTGTTAACAAATCCTCCCCTCCTTTAAATTTTCCTTTTTAAGTCCTGAACTAAATGGTGTTTTTTTTGTAAATAAGCCTATAGGTTTATCATGACATGCACAACCGAGATCTAGACTTGCTAGTAACCGTGGTTACAACCCATGCAGACATATATAAACACATATACTTTAAGTTATTTCTTTACAACAGTTAAGAAACTTTAAATATCTACCATTTACAAAACTAAAATTATCTTAATTCACATGAGATAAACAAAACATACTATCTACTACATAACAAAGGACCTTTGTCTACACCCATTCAGGGAGGGTTTGGTTTCCAAGACAACAAAGGGAAAGCACCGGACACAATCTAAGCTGCTAACATGAAAGCGGGTAAGCACATGTTGTTTCCCTTATCCGAGCTCTCCCTTGCTAGAAGGTGCTAAATCCTACCTCATGTGGTCCCAGCACCACAAACCTTCCTTCCTTTGTCAGACGAATGTGAACACTGGTTTTCTCAACCTTACATTAGCAGCAGTGAAAATGATCATACAACACTTCTTAACAAAAACAATTGTGCAAACTACAAATTAATGTGCTCCAATTCAGTGTAAAGAATTACTGTCTATTGATTGGTACAATACAATGACATTCCATTGGCTACCGGCAAAATGCTGTTTTTAACATTGTGATTGTGATGTTAGATTATCCTACTTTAGTCTACCATGGTTAGAAAGCATGTCAGATCTAGTCAAACAAAGCAAATGATTTACAGAGAAAAGTGGTTCCTTATTAACAGAAAACAGATGTCTTTCTCAGAAGATAAAAGAAATATTAATAGCAAAAGAAAACTAAAACAATGCTTGTTAATAAAGGGTTAATGATCAGACATTTTCCAACCAGACTGTCAGGTTGCCATAGAAACAAAGACACCTTGATTCTTACCTTATGGACACTGTCCTCGTCTACGGTACTAGCGTCTGACATGTCATCATAATTCATGACGTCATAACGGTCACTCTGGACCGGCGACTGCGTAGGGTGTCCGCCTCTGGCAGACCTGGTCATCTGACCTTGACCCTTTGCTCCTCTCTCTGCTAGGTGACCAGTTGCCTCCATGTGAGAGACAGGTGACTGGTCAGCTGAGATACCTGTTAAAACAAAACAATGAAATATGCTACCACAAATCATTTCATTTTACAAGTATTGTGAATTTAAAATAATTTTATAAATGTTATTGTTACTTTGGTGAATTCAAAATCAATGACTTACAAACAAACAAAAATACTCGCATAAATACAAGTTTTACTGAAAAAACTGCTACATCAACATTCAATCAGGATAAAATCCATCGCATCAATTTTAACCCAATGTGGATTAATGAAATTGCAAATTAGATGTCCTACAATGTCAGATCTAGTCTAGTGTTTAATACCCATCTATTTATACCCAACAATAAGAGCCAAGATGATGTAGTATATGATGTCAACAACACACAGACCAGCTGTTGTCATTGGGGGCGTGAACCTTTAGATCAATGTCTACTGAATACGTTGTGATTGATCCGTGCAGACATCAGCCAGCTTGTCTATTCTATAGGGCCAAGGTATCTATTGTGGCCATGTATGTTTTAGTAGAGGTTTTCATGATGTCAGCGAGATAGTTCTAGCATGCTTTGGTTGGACGGAGATTTAATTTTCGGTATAACATAAAGCATGCTGTTAGAGTGATTGTTCACTAAACTAAAGCTTTTGAGCACAAGAGGATGATTTTGAACATGTGATGATGATTTGGATTACATCTGTCTAATGTTTTGTTCAGAAAAAACTATTACTCAGTATAACATCATATTCCATGCATTTTTAGATCCCATTTATATTCATTACCCACACAATTATAACCATATCCTATGAACATATATGTGTTACTTATACATTTATACATTTTATACTCACCATTATGTGTGACTGGCCCCATGCCTTTCCACTGTACACTGTGCATGTTTTGCCGCAACATCTGTCAATCATGACACACAAGTTACTGATGTAATGTGTGTGTACATAAAGTCAACCAATTCAACAGATCAGTCAATCACGACACACAAGTTATTGATGTAATGTGTGTATATACATAAAGTCAACCAATTCAACAGATCAGTCAATCACGACACACAAGTTATTGATGTAATGTGTGTGTACATAAAGTCAATCACTTCAACAGATCAGTCAATCACGACACACAAGTTATTGATGTAATGTGTGAGTACATAAAGTCAACCAATTCAACAGATCAGTCAATGACGACACACAAGTTATTGATGTAATGTGTGTGTGTACATAAAGTCAACCAATTCAACAGATCTGACAATCACGACACACAAGTTATTGATGTAATGTGTGTATATCCATAAAGTCAACCAATTCAACAGATCAGTCAATGACGACACACAAGTTATTGATGTAATGTGTGTGTGTACATAAAGTCAACCAATTCAACAGGTCAGTCAATCACGACACACAAGTTATTGATGTAATGCGTGTGTACATAAAGTCAACCAATTCAACAGATCAGTCAATCACGACACACACGTTATTGATGTAATGTGTGTATATACATAAAGTCAACCAATTCAACAGATAAGTCAATCACGACACACAAGTTATTGATGTAATGTGTGTGTAAATAAAGTCAACCAATTCAACAGATCTGTCAAGCACGACACACAAGTTATTGATGTAATGTGTGTATATCCATAAAGTCAACCAATTCAACAGATCAGTCAATGACGACACACAAGTTATTGATGTAATGTGTGTGTGTACATCAAGTCAACCAATTCAACAGATCTGTCAATCACGACACACAAGTTAATGATGTAATGTGTGTGTACATAAAGTCAACCAATACAACAGATCAGTCAATCACGACACACAAGTTATTGACGTAATGTGTGTATATACATAAAGTCAACCAATTAAACAGATCAGTCAATCACGACACACAAGTTATTGACGTAATGTGTGTATATACATAAAGTCAACCAATTAAACAGATCAGTCAATCACGACACACAAGTTATTGATGGAATGTGTGTGTACATAAAGTCAACCAATTCAACAGATCTGACAATCACGACACACAAGTTATTGATGTAATGTGTGTATATCCATAAAGTCAACCAATTCAACAGATCAGTCAATGACGACACACAAGTTATTGATGTAATGTGTGTGTAAATAAAGTCAACCAATTCAACAGATCTGTCAAGCACGACACACAAGTTATTGATGTAATGTGTGTGTAAATAAAGTCAACCAATTCAACAGATCTGTCAAGCACGACACACAAGTTATTGATGTAATGTGTGTATACATAAAGTCAATCACTTCAACATAAAGTCAATCACTTCAACAGATCAGTCAATCATGACACACAAGTTATTGATGTAATGTGTGTACATAAAGTCAATCACTTCAACAGATAAGTCAATCACGACACACAAGTTATTGATGTAATGTGTGAGTACATAAAGTCAACCAATTCAACAGATCAGTCAATCACGACACAGAAGTTATTGATGTAATGTGTGTGTACATAAAGTCAATCACTTCAACAGATCAGTCAATCACCACACACAAGTTATTGATGTAATGTGTGTGTACATAAAGGCAACCAATTCAACAGATCTGTCAATCACGACACACAAGTTATTGATGCAATGTGTGTGTACATAAAGTCAATCACTTCAACAGATCTGTCAATCACGACACACAAGTTATTGATGTAATGTGTGTATACATAAAGTCAACCAATTCAACAAATCTGTCAATCACGACACACAAGTTATTGATGTAATGTGTGTATACATAAAGTCAACCAATTCAACAAAACCAATTCAACAGATCAGTCAATCACGACACACAAGTTATTGATGTAATGTGTCTATACATAAAGTCAATCACTTCAACAGATCTGTAAATCACGACACACAAGTTATTGATGTAATGTGTGTGTACATAAAGTCAACCAATTCAACAGATCAGTGGGGGAAGTCTCAAGGGCTTATATTTGGGATGTGTCGCAATGGGGTGTTTTGGTGGTGGTAGGGGGATGGAGGGGTGTGTTTGGGAGGAGGGTCTCTAGGAGGGATGTACACTATTAGTTATATAGTCAGTTACTGACCCTCTA